TTGTAAACCCATTATATGTATCAGTTAAGCGCATAGAGCATTGCATAAGTGGATATGCGCTATATAAATGCAATCCATTATTATTATTACTTATAACTGAAGTTTCTAAAGTCGTTGTCACTTAAGTAGTTGTTGCTAAAGACTTTGTTGTTATTATTGTTGTTACTATTGTCGCTGCTGTTGCTATTTTGTTTTTTCTTTGGGCGTTGTTGATTAAATTGCTGCTAATGTGTTCAATGCTGTTTATATTGTCACTGTTGGTGTTGCTGTTTTTTTAAATAGTTCTTTTGTTATTGTTGTTATTCTTTCTGTGGTTGTTATTGTTGCTGTTGTTGTTGTTGTTGCTGTTATTGTTGCTGTTGCTGCTGTTGCTGCTATTGCTGTTGTTGCTGCTGTTGTTGGGCGTGTTGCTAGTAGCCAGTAGATGAAAACAAAGTTTGAAGATATTTGTCAAGCGTGGTGCATTTCTTTATCAGACTAAATCACTAAAAGCACCAAGTCTTCATGCGACTTGTAACTCATCAGTCGCCTCTTTTCAATATCGTCAATGGCACAGGCTGAATATTCCTTTCAGAGTTTGAAAATACGGGACAAATTACCCTGCCACTTTGTCGATCCTTTCCTATTAAACACCTGTCGTCATTATCTCTCCCCCTTCTTTTCTCTGCATGCTACTCTCTAGTTACACATTTAATCTTCGGAACTTAATCGTGTTACAAGTGCCGTAAAACTCTTTTAAAAACTAAACTAAACTTTGCTGACCACCACCCTCCTTTTCCTTCCTCCGTCAAGTCCACTGACACTGACACTCATGCAACACAATCTAAAAAGATGCCACTTTAAGTGTGTGTTGAGTGTTAATGATAAAATAACACTGTTCGCTGAAACCTATAAGTCCAGACTATAGTATGAACAATGGTCTTTTCGGCTAAGTACTTCAATGAAAAGGAACAGTTACATAACCACATACTCTTCAATTCACACACGCCAACGCCGCCTCCATTACTACAGACTTGAGATTGAAAGCCTAACAAGTCTGAACATATAATGCCCCCCTTTCCTCACTGGCGTACCTCGACCTGTCAAAGACAAAATAGACAACATTATTTCCCCTATTAACCCCCAGAAAAGAGCACACTGGTACGCCACCGGGCTTCCGCCTGACACGGTAATCTTGAAAGCCAAAATCTGCCCTCGTTTGTCAGACCGTAATTTGAGTGGTCATGGTGGTGGAACGAATTTTGGCTCAACTAATATCAACAGGCAGCCTATTCACAGTTGCGTCCTCTTTTTTTTCCAGATGAGTTGATGGCTGCCATTTTGTGTCACCCAAAGACTGGCCAGAAAAAAGAAAAGCGTCTACCTGCAATTATCCAATCAAAATAGATATACGCGGGGGGAGGGGAGGATTTGTCCAGAAAAAAAGAAAAGCGTCTACGTACAATTATTTGGCTTTAACAATCAAAGCAAATAGACGCCACAATATTGCCGGATTAATTAACACCCCATCAGCTTTTCGTTTCGTTTTTTTAAAAGATGTGGACAGCGTAACGTACTTCCTGCTGACCTGGCATAACGCAATAGACGTATGGCAGATGAAGTCATGGAGTTTTTTTCGGTTTTAGTGTTTGTTTGGTTTTGTTTGCTTTTTTCACTACATTTTAATTTTAGATGGGCATAATTATACTATCGTATTCTAAGATGTGTTTCGTGTTGTTATTTTTAGTTCGTAAAAGAGAGGTATGAACTTTTTGGCGAGTTTACAAACCGTTGATACCGATATACAAATGCAAGGCCCAAAATTGTGAGGATTTTTATTATTATTGAAATGTCCTATAGTAGATGGCAGCGGTTTCACAGACATGTTCGGGTTAAATATTTGGTAGAAATTTAAATTCCAAATGTAAGAAAGCCAGAAAAGATATACAGCGTAAGTACAAATTGTAAAAGAATTTGAACCGCTTTTTTCTTTCTACTGAAGGATTTTGATTTCTGGGCTTAGAAAGGTTGAAAAGCTCACCGACACGTAGTCTAAACAGCCGTATGCACTGCTCACCGTCGAACGCTCCGTATCCCGGACTCTAGCATGGAGATCATCAGGAGAGAATGCGTCGCTGTTTCGGGCTCTTCCTCTCTACAGCTTTTCTGACGCACCGAGCCCCCTCACCGATGTGAGGTCTCCATGTTAGTTCGACTGTTTTCCTCTGCTGCCAACTTTAGGATTCATTCCAGCTTGAGTCCTCTCGCTTCAACCAGATCCAATGACTGGCTTTCTCTGCTGTCTCCTGAAGGGAGTTTGTGAGTTCGTTGCTTTTCTTTGCAGTAAGTCCTGCCACTCTCATCCACTTACGGGCGCTTGTTGCTACAAAACCTCTGCATCCTACCTCTACCGGAAAATGGGTTGCCTTCCATCCTGCCTCCTCACATTGTTCGACGAGTGCCTCGTAACGGTTTTCTTTCCGCTCATGAGCGGCATAGATATTGTCCTCGTGGGGCACCGTGAGCTCTACCAAGTGTACCTCTTTGTCTTTTTCCTCCCATAACACAATGTCTGGCTTTTTCGTAGTTGGAATGGGGAAGAATCTCTCAAAGCCTTTTAAGTCAGCAGCTACTTCCCATGTGCCTCCGCTCTGGTCTTTCATGGCTTCGTTCGCTTTCTTTCTTTTGGCAACCTTGCTTCCTTGCGGAACGAACGCAATCTTGGTGGGTCCATGCTTCTGTATCTTGGGGGCATATTTTCCTTCTTCCACCTGTTGTGTCGCCATTTTCGTGAGCACTTTCAACACCTCGTTGTGTCTCCAGGTGTATCTGTTAAGAGCTAGGTTGCAGTTTGACAAAATATGCTTCATGGTTCCTAGCTTACCGCATCTACACTTGTTGTCCTCCTGTACTTTCCATCTGACAAGGTTCACC